AAAAAATTTCCCCCTCCCCCCCCCCCTTTTTTTTTTTTTTACATCACAGAAGAGGAGGATCAGATTTCCTGTTCTTCAAATCCTTAAGTCTGGTATTGGATATTTTAACATGGGAGTTTAAGTGAATTTTATCAGTACTGTTTTGTTTCAAGAGCTTTACTTTAAAAAAATAAAAGATTTAGTTATGCACAGAAACTAATCTAATAGATACTTCTAGGATAAGCACTGTCCTGTTGTGTTACTACTCCAAACCACGTAGCGCTGTACTAATGCATGGCCCAAAACTGAAGACGGCAATGGGGATAGTGAGGAAAGAATTTTTTCCCCCCTCTGATAAAATGAAAAAAAGAAAGCACTTCTTTAAGGAGAATATAAATTAGGGCACTCAAACCTGTATCCAAGCAGTATCATTAAACCAACAATACGATATTTCTACAACAATGATTTTGAGAAACAAATTATGGTTGTAAGTTCGGCACCAAATTTAACACCAGTCTCTACACAACTGCCATCCATAGCCAGCATCCAGGAAGATCATGAATAGAAAATACATTGTTTAATTGGAATCTAATTTTTCCCCCTAAATGCTTGAGAGGGGAAAAAAATGTTTCAGATTTAACTCAGAGATATTTTCTAATTTTCTTCCCCTCCCCCCCTTGCTGTGTCTCTCTGCATATTTAGCTCTGAAGTAATTCCCAAATCCGTCTCCTACTTAGAACTCTCTCATATCTTCTCTCCTTCTCTGGGAGAACTGTGAAGTGAAATAACACCACCATAATTTAAAATAGCTTATTTACGCTTTAGCACAAAACTATGAGATTACGAGAGTTTCTATCTTCCAAAGATGTCTTTTTGGACAAAACTTCCAAGCATTACATTCATAACGGATAATTTCATAACTAATGAACAGAAGACAGAAATTTGCAAAGTGCTTAGATGTAGAGTATTATAGAAGGTTCAGGCATGTGAGCAGGTTGGAAGTGAAAAGACTGGTCTAGTTCCACCTGCATGACATAGAACATATAGTAGGTTTTGCTACAAATCTGACACAAATACAGGTTACAGATGTAATAGCGCATGATGATCAAGCCACAGTATTTTGCAGCTGCCTACTTCTCATTTTTTTGTCTTCACAAGACCAAGCCACTAGGCTTAGTTTTCCAGATTCTCAATAGTACTCCCACTTATTAAACATCTTCTGTTTCAAGTCTATTCACTTTTTATTTTGTATAAAAACATACATGGTGTTTATACAAAATGAGAGCTCTATTATTATCCATAAAGATAGCAGGAGAATGTTGCATTCTAAATGGGACACACAGAACAAGGGGGGGAAAATTACAAGTAAAACTTTAAACCTTACCATTTCCCTTCTTCTTTCCTCTTCCCTTTCAGCCTCTTTTTCATATTCTCGACTTTTCTTCCGTTCCCTGATTTCCCAGTTTTTAAGACGCTACAACAGAAGAAAAGACACACACTCCAATCTCGAGAACGTTAAGAACAGTGGTACTACTTTGAAGTTAGTTTGGATTATTGTTTAAAACCAACTGCATTAAAATTAAGTTAGTTATAACTTAAAATGCCAAAATAAGAAGTTCAAAGTTGTTCTGACAGTGACTTCTGCCCCAATTCATGTAGTCAAAGGATTAAAAGTGTATTTAGGAAAAGAAGAGGGAGAAGGAATGACGTATTTTATAGTAGAAGGCTTCTAATAACCCCTCAGAAACATTTTTTTCCTTAAGGAACCTTAAAAATGCCAACCTACCTCTTGATATGCAGCTTCTTTTTCCCGCAGTTTCCTCTCTAGTTTTCGGCGTTCATAGGCATCTTCTTCATCTTCTTCTCGGTCTCTCTTCTTATCCTTCTCCCGTTCTCGTTCCCGTTCTCGTTCTCTTTCTCTGTCTCTGCTTTTTTCTCTGAAGGAAGGAAAAAGTCCGAAGTTAAGTACAGAGCCTTCCTCTCCACTCAATCAAGTCATTTAAGTTCAAATGCATAATGCACTATTTATAGCATCTTGCAAGTTATTCTTCTCCTGCAACTATACAAGATGATTAGCTGATATAGCAGTGGGCATAAATCAGTATTTCTAATGTGTTAAAAAAACCATTTACCTAAAAATAGTTGTTTGAGCACTAAATAGTGATATCTACAGAAACTAAGTGTGAGTACATGGCAATTTATCAGATTGTGTTAATAGTTCTTCATAAGTAACTGACAGCTAAAAAACTCATAAATAAAGGGTATGCTTAATAAATCCTTCATGTTTACGTGGCTTACAGAAAAACTAAATCATCTTGTCAGTAGGGTTCAAAGGTGAAACAGCTATTTTTTCTATGGTGAAGAGAGAAAAAGCAGCATCTAGAGCCTAACATGATTAGTTACAGCTTAAGACTGACAGAGGAGTCCCCTTGCTTTTAGTAAAAAAATCAAAAACGCACATAAAAAACCAAAAAAACCCACCCCAAAATCAACCCCACATACCAAAGGAAAAGGTAAAACCTACTTATGTTTGTGGTATCTTTTAGCTTATGAGAATCTCAAGTAAGAATAAAGCTACCCATGAAAAAAGAGAGATTTGAGATAAAACCAATATGCTTATGTCATGGTTGGGTGGTTGCTTACTGCATATTGCAGTCCTTATTCCTCTGCTGCGGAGGGAATCAAGTGTTCTTCCAATTTGTGTAAATACAACACTTTCTAAAATTTTGATTTCCTGTTTTTACTTGTCATCTTTGAAAAGGACCATTCTCTTTTGAGTGGCTGAACTGGACACACTGAGTAAACAGCACAAGGAAAAACTGAAATAAATAGCAACTCAAGTACATTTACCTTGATCTGCTCCGATCCTTGTTGCGATCTGAACTCCTTTCACGATCTCTGTCACGATCTCGGTCTCGTTCGCGGTCTCTGTCTCGGTCCTTAGTTCGATCACGATCCCTATCTCGCTCTCGTTCACGCTCCCGTTCCTTCTCCTTCTCTCGTTCACGCTCCCTCTCTCTTTCACGCTCCCTCCTTTCTCGTTCACGCTCTCGTTCCCTTTCTCTTTCTCTGCGTTCTTTTTCAATTTCCTGTCTTTCTTTCTCCTTTTTGCCTTTTTCCTCCTCCAGTTTCTAAAAACCAACAAGAGAACTTTCATAGTTAATTCTGTAGTTAGAGGAACTAGATATTCCCGGCGCAACACACAAGGCTGGTAATGGAAATACCAAAACCGCCACTGATTTTAAAATATTAAATAGGGTTTTGTGGGTATTTTTTGGAACTCATAAGTATGAAATCAAAATGCAGCAATCACAAGACTAAGTTTCGTGCAAAAGCATAGATCTACACAGACCAGCAATCTCCAACCTTAGCAGAGTAGGGCTGGCCTTGTATTATAAGCTGACTAAACTGCACATACACAGTGCACTGCCAGTCCTAATTCAGGTGGGCAATAAATTCCATTGGCCCTATAAGCCCCTTGGGTACAAACAAAGTGAACTTCTAGCTGATAAAATTAATTCCGTTCACCTAGGAAAATACATTTCAGTGGAATGCTTACTGGGACAGTGAGTCATTTCCCAGAAGTCTTGACAGACCAAAACCATCCTATATGAAAACTTGGGTAAAGAAATTTATCCACTTACACGTGGTGCATGTGGTTAAACAGTGAAGAGAGCTGCAACCTTTCCCCTTTTCCCTCCCTAAAAAAGTTCTAACAGTTCATTGGTAAGAACTGGACTCTGCAGAATGGAATCCTTAACTTCCACCACTGCAAGATGGAGAGAGTTAAAAAAAGGTTGGAAATAGCTCTTTTGAAACACAGAAACTAAAGGGTTACCTGCTACAGTTTTACTAAAAATTGTACAAAATTGCCACTTTTTTTTTTTTTTCAATTAGAAACAGTTCCTATGACCAAAATTCCTATAAGACAATAGAAAATACATCAACAGAATGATAGATAAATCCATCCTCGGAAGCAATTGTTATGTGTTAACTTACAGATGCTGTGCTAGGACATGGACCGCCAACACTGGATTAACCTTGCCTATAAGCTATGTTTCTGGGAGGAAGAGCAAGTACACGGTTCACAAATATACCAAATAACAACCAAATATACCAAATTTCAACCTGATGGATGCCAGAATACCACTTTTTTGAACAAATATTGAGCAGAATAAACAGGTTTATCCCCTTTGGCTCCACGTTTACCATCACTGAAATGAAATTAAAAACTGGAACAATGAAACAGCATTTTCTCTGGTTTGGTTTTTTTTTTTTCTTTTCTTTTCTTTCAAACAAAGCATTTAAGACAACTTTAAAAAGCAATCTTACCTGATAAGTGTTCTTCTGCCATAGGCACAGGGACCAGAGAACCGACAAAGGATTACAGAAATAAAAGCTAATTCACTAGTGATTAATGTATCCAGTGAAACTAAACTGCATTGATAGCACAATACAGGCAAACCAATGTTGGATACATTGAAATCACAAAAGGAAAAAGGGACTAAAAATGGTAGGATTTGGTAGAAAACTGGTATGAAAAAACAAAACTTAGATTCTACAATATACACTGGGCTGAAAACCAATGTCTAAAGGATTGTATTTTACAGGAGCTTTACAGTGTTAAACCTCAGTACGGTCAGATGTTAAAATAGGTTGTTAACTTTTAAAAATCCAACTTACCTCAAATTTCATATACTTTTAAAGAAAAGTTTACATACTGAAGTGGTAGATACTTACAGGTTATCTTAGATGTTCCAATAGAAATTTCTTTGGCTGAACTCCTGCTTTTTTGCCACTGAAAAACTTTGTTCGTGGTAAGAAAATAATTTCTCAAGAGTGGGTTTTTTTTTTTTAAAATATGTTCACATATGTGTAAATACACACACACAAGTCTTGGTGTATTAAAATCCATTTTGTAGGTCCACTTTCTTAAAATCCAATTGAAAAAATAAATTGGTCTATTTTGTAATCAAAATCTGACCTCATCAACTTCTATCAGCCTAAATAAGGGATCTGAAAGGGTAATGGGATGGGAACGGTATCAGATATATTGAAGTAATGAACAGAAATGAACAGGTAGAAGAATTATAAGTTTTACCTTGAGCTCTCTTCAGACTCGTCCGTGCTGTAAATGGACGCCCCCTGCAATGCTGATACCCTGACAGTCTGTGGTTATTGTTTTATAAACTCATACCAAAAACATGCAAAGGTTCACTGTGCTCACTAGCCAGCTGCTAAAGATTCAACAGCCCCTTTTAAACATATCCAATATACACAATGACTACTTTCAGTTGATTTTTCATGTTAAGAAACCCAAAATAGCCCTTCCAATAATACAGATTAAAGGCAATAACATGCCCAACAGCTTCTGAAACAACGAAGCATGTTTTTTGTTTGTTTTGTTGGTTGTTTTTTTTAAAAAACTTATTACTTGTTTGCATCTTAGTACCAGTGACTTCTTGGGGCTTGGAATTGAACACAATGCTACTGAAGTTTCACCACTGACCAGTTTCACATTCAATTGCTGAGCTTCTCCAGATGATTTTGTCTAGAATTTTTCCCCAGGTTTTTATCTCCAACAACTTCAGTCAAGAAAAACTGAATGTGTGTACATACAACAACGTGCAGTCATTTGTGTTTACATTGATACAGTTGTGCGAAAACATGGTACCATCCCCAGTGACTGCATGTGGGAAAGCTGAGTAACACGGGCATACTTCACCTTGCTGTACCTTCAACATTTTCTTTAACATTGGTTTAGGGGTATTTTGAAATAAATATGTGCTCAAAAGAGGAGCTTGCTGATACTTCCCTAGGCCAAGGACCATTCCAGTCTTGTCGGGGAGAAAATAATACCAACTTTATGCTAAACATTAAAATAAGAACATTACATGCATAGTTGTGCTTTACTATCCACAAGTATCATTTTCCAAAGCAGAAACATTCACAGATGCACTAGCATTAATGGAAACTTCTGTAAGTGGGAACCCTGAGGTGGGACTTGATGTGCACAAACAGTTCCAAGCCAGTTACCCCTTTGCATATTTTTCTGAGGGGGCATCCATAAGTATAATAAAAAACAGAAGCTCATACTTACATCCTATTCCATGTTACTTTCCAAGCTGTGAGTTTCATCTTGCATTAGTCACCATATGATCTCTATCATAATGGTGGGGGTCAATGAATAGATTAGCTTTATGGGAATTTACAGTTCTTCCATGCATCTAAAGTTTGGTAAGTCTGGTAACCACTGACCTAGTTTTAATCTTCCCCCACTCTTAACTTAGAACTATTAAAATAAAAGACTTAAATTTAATTCAAGTTTCAACTCTTCACAAAATCTTGGATTATGTTACAAATCTACCTACAGAAACACACTCAAGTGTATGTCTTATACTGTAGCCCCGTTTAGCCTTTAGTTATAAATATCTTGACTTAATGTATGTGTAGAAACTTAAGTTGCCTTTATTCATGTTAAAGTGAGCAGACTGCAAAATAATCAGTAGCAATCAAAGTCTTAGCATAAAGATGTCAAGGGCCACTTTAACGTGGTAGTTGTCTTTTTTTTTGACTTGTAAAGAACGATATGTATATTAAACCTAATATAAACATCATTTTAAGTGATACTGCAATGTACTGCTAAATTTTATAATAGTGGTTTTTTGGATTTTGAAAAAGCCTAATTTGTATCAAGTGCAAAAACAAGAATACTACCTTGTGTGTGTCTCTGAATTTACTGATCTCTCTTGATATCAGGTCTCTTTTGTCTTCCTCCATTTCTATAGCATTTATATCCTCCTAAAAAACAAGGGGGACAGGAGGAAAAGCATTAAGAGCCATCTGTACAGACATAGCAGAACAAGAGAAAAACTGAAGGTTAGAAGTTTTCAACCAGTCTTGCAAGAGATAAATAAAGTCCTTCTGCAGTACCAAACCTGACAGTCTGATGTTAATGAGTGAAAAAAAAAAAATCAGATGGACAAGAGTCACAAATCTGGCAACTAGCAGTAAACATAGTCATTGTCAAAACCTACAATGTAAACGAACCTTGGTGATGAGTGGATAAGGTATCAGTGGGGCCACTGGAAATCTGCGGAAAATCTGCGGAAAAATCCACGGAGATTTTTTTTTTTAAAAATAGATTGCACACTACTCTGAAAAACAATGTTTTGTATGTTTGTACTATAAAGCAATATTGTATTGCTGTGATCTCATTTCTTTGATTCAACAAAATTACAGAAGAACCTCGCTAATTCTCCCTTCTCTGAACTACTTAAAATACATAGTGAGGTCTCGTATTAGTAAGACTTCACTGAATTACAAGTGTACTACAGGATATTAGTAGGTTATGGTAGCATCATAAACAAGACTAAGCTACACTTGCCAATATAAATGATCAGTATATTTGCAGTGGGTATGTCTTGATTTTATTTACTCGCTAATTCGCAAAATTTGGTAGATTGCACCTACTAACTAATAGTTAGTGCGAATTAGCGAGGTTCCCCCGTGCTTGAAATTGAAAACCAGATTCCACTCACTCTCAGTTCCCCACACACATTTTCAACTCCCCCACATCAGTCATGCCTTCATCCCGAAGAACTAACAGACTCGGCTGTAACACCAGCAGGAGTCTTCTTCACACCAAGCTCCTCAGGGGACAACAGCCCCAAAGCTGACAGGCTTCCCTGCTCCCCCTTCCCCCTCAATATATCTGCATCCATCTTCCCTTTCCCCCCGCCCTCCACAGTCCTTCTCTCCCCTCTCCTTTAAGGACAAGAGAGCAACGAACTAGGACCATCTCTTCACTCCCACCTCTATCCACACAGGCCAAAGATGGCAACTTCCAAGTTTCTTTTCCTCCTTCCCAGTACGAGAGGGATGATGAGGTGTAATTTCAACCCGTAAGTGCTATGTATTTAAAAAGCACTTATTTGTCTACTTGACTAGCTCAGATGGGTCAAATTCTACATCATACAGAGCTAGAAGAATATCCCTCTCTCCCAGGTACATACTCAGCACCCAGCTCTTTCAAGACTGCAATGGTCTCTTACAGTGTTTAGCTATCTGGCATTATTCATGGCCATATATATATCTGTACCCACAGGACAATACACATTGTAACAATGCTTGTAACAAGAAATACAGCTAACAGCATTAGACAGTGACTCATTTGTAAATTCTCATCCAAGAAAGCATCTTCTCCCAAAGAGAGGGAGAGGAAAGAAAAAGAAATTCTCAGCTCAGCACTCTTATACCTCAGGTCAGCCACGGCTAACAATTTTGTGGGGAAGACACACTCACTCCCTGAGGGAGATGTTGCTTCTTGCACCACACTTAAACCCCACAAGCATTTGAAACTGCATTATTGCCTTGGAATAGGTACTTTGCAGAAGACTTAAGTGGGTAAACAATTAAGTGGTCAAACAATTTTCCAATCTCCTTCATATTAGGTGCAGAATGGTAGGTGTGAAAGCCCGTTTCCCCTGGTTAGAAACTTGGCTGGAAAAGCTAAGTCTGAGTTTGCTCATTCTTATTCCCCCTTCTCTGGTTTGTTTTATTCCATAAAAAGGTCATCAACAGAAGCAGGTCTACAC